AGAGATTTGGATCAAAGTTTGATCCCGGTGTTTTGATTCAAAATACCAAGCTTTGGGCTGGACCACCATAATAGTTGATAGCACTGATCGGAAGCATACCAAGACCACATATGTGGCCATTATATTATAATAACGCTTGTACGCTGAAATGTCCCTTGCGGCCTGCCACGTACGTCGCTTTGTGGGCCGTAGATCACTACAGGAATCCATGCCAGTAGTGGTACAGTGGTAATTCACGGTTTGGATAACACGAAACTATTGCTGGTTGCGGATTAGTTTCGCGTACTAAACGGATTAACCCCACGTAGTTTGCTGGAACGGATTAGCTCCGCGTAGATTATCAGGTGGCATGTCTAAAAAAACACATCGATGATTGTTGGCAGTGCAAGCTTGTTGGCTGGCTTCGTGAAGGACTACCAATTGGTACAACATGCACTTTGGACGCTGTTTTGGGCAGTGTGAAGCGAGAGCTGATGTAGCGTAATGTATTATGCATGATGCCTGTCACCAACGGTGCAGCTTCCGTCAGCTTCGGCTTGGTAATGTACTGCTCAATTGTGACTGCCGATGTGGTGAATGGTTACACACAACAGGTACGACCTGAGATGCACATGCATATACTCTACTCCCGCTTTGGTCGTCCCTCACCTCTATAATGCCGCTGCGTGGGTCGCAGAGCCACTCGGCTAGCCGATATTATCTTATATTATCTTCAAGGCTTAAAGCTGCAGGTCTCTAAACGCTATTGGCGAAAGTGTTAAGGTCAGGGAGCCATTGGAGAGGCTCAAACCTGTTCTCACCACCCCATCGGTTCTGTTTTGGCTTAGCCGTTAGGGCTACTGAAGGCGTCGTTGCAGTGGTGCCAAGCCCCCGGATGAGCCCTACGCGCAGGTAATCTCTGTTTTAAACTCTACGTGCTGGTAATCCGAATGAATTATACACTCGGAAGTAATCCCTTTTCTACGTGGTTTTAATCCTCCCTCACTATTGCTTGTTGGCCACTTTTCAGTCTTTTCCGTATAGACTGATAGTGCCCAGCTTTCAACACCCTTTGCGGTAGCTGTAAATCCCCGCCGACACAGCTGCAGCGACTGCACGCGTTCGCAGTTATGTAGGTTCATGCGCACTGCGCCGCGAGCATGTTCCTGAGGAGCGGATCTCCAAGCGCTGACTGTTGAACATCAGCTAGCGCCGGTATGAGGAGCTGCGCGAAGTCGACCCTACAAGCTTACTATGATCGGTCGCCCTCGTTGCCTAACGCACATATTGGATGCTTCGGATAGCGTAGAGGTCGCGCCACGCGACGTTGGTGGGGTGGAACGTGTCGTCCGTGGAATGCACCAGAGCGGTGGGCGGCATGGGCTTAGACTCTAACCAGTTACAGTAGTAGCAGCAGTAGTTGGACAAACAGCAGTAGCAAGCCCAGCGGCCCATGTAGGCTCAGCAAGACCACACAAACTCAGCAAGCCAATGCAGCGTCCGCTCGCTACTGCTGTTGAAAAACTGTGCACCACAGTGTCCCTGATAGCGCTCCATTATTTCAAGTGGGCTTTTATAGATTTGTACTGAGTCTAGCGCGTGAATAGTTTGCCTTTGAGGAGCTCGCACTGATGCAAACGTACTGGTTAAGAGTAATTAGCACTAAATTTTGTATGCTGCTACTAAAACACTGGTGTATGAGATCTGAAGTTACATATTTCACGAATAGGTACGCTCAAGATGTGTGCGCAACGATCTTAAGGTCTGAAGGAACGCTAAGAATGTTGGCTGGGGTGTAGTTCTGGTCAATTACATATAGGCGGATGATCTCGTCCTTCATCTGACGAGTAATGGCATAACGACGTTGGGAGGCGACACTTAACCGGTGTTCTCCACCAGTATTGTAGCGAGTCTCGGGACACCTGCTCGTCGGTGGGTCCGCAAGCTCGCTACAGTGCTGCTGCGGGCAAGGTCCGTGGATGCAGAAAGACAATGACACACTCAGCAGCCAGAACCCCGCAAAGAGTCCCTATTTATTCACTTGTTCGTCAATCGCGGCCACTTCAAGTCGGCACTGCAACCTCGACCTCTGCTGCTACACTACACGACTTTACAGGTGCACTCCACGTCACCAGCAAGCCTCCGGTCAATCCGTCTGACTTGTCCTGTCTATTCGTAGCTCGTCCTGTACTGCCGGCAGTTGCTGCTGCTCTACTGTTCTGCTGTTGCTGTCTGTGACTGTCTGTGGCTGTTGCTAGTGTTCGCTGTCTGGCAGATTACCAAGTGAGCCCTCGCCCGCGAACAGCCCGTCGCTAGCCTCGGACGCCCTCAGCCATCGGTTCGCTCGGCTGCTGTGAGCCGCTCGTGCGTTGCTTCGGTGCCCCTCCGCGCAAGATCGCGCCTCGCACTCGCTGTTGGCGATCTTTCCGTCTGTAACCCCCGTCCTTCGCTGCTCGCCTCGTAGTGTGAGCCAGCTGCGCTCGTGTACTCCTTCAGCATGGGCCTGCTGGACACACTCACTGTCACGTACTCGCTACAGTATAGACTACTTTACTCCTCTCGGTTCGCACCGTAGCACCTTCAGCCAGTAAGTACACGCTGGTGAGCCTCGGCGTTGCATGTTGTAGTAATACACCCTGGAGCGCATCCCGTGCTGGTCGATGATGATCGCACAGACTGTGCATGTCTGTGGTAGGTCGTCAATGATCTCAAGCCATCAATGTTCTGGAGCGCTGCTGCCTCTGACGATACCCTGACTATCTGGAATTGTTGTTGGGCTAGCAGTCGAGATTCACATTCGACCTGGTGCTCAGAGCTATTCACAATGTGCCCAAATATAGCAACCGTATGGATTGGTACAGTGTATGTGCATCAGGTTATGTTCAATATTAAAGGGTGTAATTCGTAGTTCAGGCCTTAATCGAAAAGTCAAGAGCTTTTGTCGACGATTACAGCTCTATCGTAATACAGCTAACAATTCCACACTCACGGAAGCTGTGGGCACATCTGAGTTATTATCTTGATCATCAATTCGATGATCGCCTTGATGCGACAAAAAAGAGGTTGCTGTGGTGTCGAGCATTACTGTACGCTGCAATACGTCGTTTTCGACGTGTCTCGGAACACCTGTGGTGTAAAAAGCTGATACTGCATCAGTACTGCTACTGATGCTAATTGCTGTAACAAGAGCGGACTGCGGCCCGCGTTATTTCAAGGGCGTGCCGCAGGTCCCTTTCAGAAGCTGTGTGTCCGACTAAAGTTGCCCCCATAAACAGGCCTCCCTAATTAAGGGAAATTGGTACGATTTCCCTCGCAATACCTATATTAAGGCGCCCGCTCATCACTCGCAAAAATATATGAAAATCTGATTTTTACCCCTGTTCAAATTGAAACCGGAGGCCCCCGCAACAGAGCCCTTAACGCACTTATTCACTGTATTGAAGATGCACTATGTAAGGGTGACTCCACACTAAAGTAGGATTTCTAAACTACATACCATGCTCCGTGTAGATCGAGCGCGCCCTACGAAGGTTGCCAAGAAGCTTTGAGCCCCCCAAAGCGTGCTACAGCAGCGTCACGGTGTTGAAGGGGAACCGGGACACTGAAGCGGGACACATTCGGTGGCAAAAGGTCACATTAGGTCCGATCCGGTGCAAATCGGTCGTGGGACATCCCCTAGCATTTTCGATAGGCTGGCCCTACAGCCCATGTTTCGGAATAGGGTTAGGGATAAATGCATACTAAAACCAAGTAAGATCTCCAAACATGTAAAACATGTGGACATCCATGTTTCGGTTTTCAGGACGGGTGTCATGGCACCCAAATCTATTGCAAATCCCTGAGAACTGGGTAATCGAGCTGCTAAATGCGGCTCTACCTGTCCTTTAAACCTTTAGAAGGCCGACCCAGCGCTAGGCAGGGAACTGTAGACCTAAGTCTTGCTTCGGGGCTACGTTTGCGGGTTGTTCATGCTTCTCAAACGCCACTGATGCCGATTTGGTCTCTGCATCACGATAGATTTGCGAGCCATTTCACCCCCTCCAATCCGAAAACATGGGCTGTACATTTTCCGTTTTCGATACACCCAAACGAACAGCACAGCATGTGCTGCATCTTAAAAAAAACACCTGGCACCTGTATGCCGCATACATAAAACACATACAGTATGTGTTCTCTCAGCGACCACGTTCGGGCGTTGAGGGAAAAAAATCCAAAAAGTTTTGTGGATTTGAAACCAACAACAGTACCTACAGTAATCAGTCTGGTGGGATGGGAGGTCTAGGGTATCTGTTACACGCTATTTGACAAACATACTTCATTTTCAACAGATTCTACTCAATGAGAAATGTCTGTTATAGGGGTCTGTGGTATTTATTGGATAAAAATTGTCTTGCCTTCAAAGTACGAAAATTGCACTTTTACGCAAAATTGAAGATCAGACTAATTTCTGTAAGCACTACTGTACTAAGGGTCCTAGTGTCCCTGTGGGTAAGGCCCACGAAGATCAAGCGTTCCACTGAGGGTTCGAGCCTCGCCCGGAGCGATTCCCATACAAAAGCCATGTAAGTCTATTTCCGACCCCCTACTACCTCCATCACTACATCCCCTGGAACCCCCTAAGTAACCCCCCCAATGGAACTCCCGATTAACCACTGCAACTGCATCCCCTCAAACCGCCGCCTCACCACGACCCCAGGAAGGGAAACCGATCAACTAGGAATAGTTTAGGGTAACCCACTTAGACGACAAAGTGCTAGCTTCCAGCAGGCTCCGAAATAAGTGCCTAAATATACGCCACCAGGTCAAGTACATGTGGCCTTCTCTCTCTGTTAAGCACTGTACTACGTACATGTATGCGGGTCAGGGCTGGTAAAACCTGTCGATTTTTTGAAATGGAATTAGGTTTTTGGTTTTACCTTGGTTTAAACCAATAGAACCTAGTTTTAATGCAAATACTACTCTTCACTACTGAGTTCTTGGTCATTCTCGTAACTATCGCCGTTTTCGCGCTTGTAGTTGTGGTTGGCCTTGATGTAAAGAAGCTTTTCGATTTTCGGTGCACTCAGCGCATTTCTAAGTTTGTTGTGAATGAAGTTTCTAGTCGAAAACGTGCGCTTGGATGCAGCACTCGAAGCGACTAAGCTGAACACATTCAAAGCCAGCTCTCTGAGTGTCGGCCACCGCGAACCCGTTGTCACCCAAAAGTCGTATACGCTTTTCACCTTCTCTTCGAGCTCCATATAACGTCGATCTTGATTCGTCTTCATCTTATTGCAGTACACTTGGAAAGCAGTCAGCTCGACGCTCATATTTTTGCTTCGTGTGGTGTCACGAGTGATGGAGCTGGTATCAGACGCAGGAAAGTCGACGATAATATCTTTTTAAGTCGCGATAAGCAAGCTGAAGTTCCTTCAATCGAACACTATGATGTCTAATTCTGTGGCACGTACGAGCCTCATACCCAGGATACTGGAACCTGATTGGTCGACATACTGTATTCGGCAGTTGTGATTGGCTACGAGAAGGTAACTTCAACTTGCCTTCCTAGCAACTGTTAACCACCTAGTTTTCTGGTACCCTCCTAACACGCGTCGAAGTTAGAAGCTAGGACGTCGTGTACTTGTTGATAAAGCACAATAGAACAGATTGGTCAAGCTAGTTTTTCTAATTCCAAGTCAACTGACTCTGGGAAAAACCTGTTGGCTGTTTTGGTGGCTAACAGGTTTTACTATAAAACCTATATTAAACCTAATGATTAAACCCGATGTGCCAGCCCTGATGCGGGTGTTCCTCTCGGGCGTCAATAGCACTCCTATTGCGAAACAGGTGAGGGCATGTGCTTGCAACAAATGTACGAAGCTACGCCAACTCAACCCCTTTTCCCAGCCTTGGTAAATCGCCAATGGCATGCGAAGAATAAAAAAAACTGGACACTCGACGAAAAACCAAAGACGTGTACAACTGTACCTACGGTGCCATCTCATACATCTTCGGTTCTTCTGCTTAAGCAGCTGTGCGGTACTTAGTAATAAGTACCGTAAATAACGGCGAACATGCAACGCACGGCGAAGATGCAACATTACCGCCAAATTACTACAAATACTGGTATTTTATCTTGGCTTCAGTATTGTATGAACTTTTTACAGCTTTTTACGAGTCAATTGACTTTTTACATTTTGACTTGAAAGCTTCTTTTTTACGACGTTGCATCTTCGCCATGATTTACGGTACTAGTTACTCATGTTGACGTACGTACCGGCTCATAACCACCACTCCATTCACGTCCAGTTCCCGATCGGGCCCACTGGGCGTGGTTGTAGAACGAATGAACGTGGGCCCACCTCCGCTCACTCCTCAATTTCCTCTAGAACCCTCAAGACAGCAGCTCCTACGACGCCGGCACCAACGTAAGCGCGATCTCTACCTCTTGAACGGATCGAAGCCCGAGTACAAGCATGAACCTGCGATCTGCCGCGCTTGTTTCCATCGTGGCTACCCTCTACGCCTGCTGCATCGCTCAATCCTCCGCCACCGCCACGGTGTCTGACCCGGCTAGTGCGATTCATTCTCCAAATGAGGCCCTCGTGGTGGGCAAGCGATTCCTACGCACGCCCGTAGCAGCGGTCGATAAGGGCAAGAGCGAAGAGAGAGGGCTGGATTGGTTTACCTCGAGTGCTGCCAAGGCGCTGAAAGCCCAAAAAAGAAAATGGATCAAGAGCGCGGAGATTTACGAGGATCTTGTCATGCACCAGAGGACTACGTAAGACGTGTACTCGGCCTGGAGGGAGTTCGGGGCTTCGCCGGGAACGATTGAAAGAGCGATGGCGAAGGTTGGCTACGGAAGCGATGATTTTAAGTACATCGTGAACGGCTACAAGGATCACCTGGAGCACATGAAATACGTTCAGCTGCACTAGACCGCTTGAGTATCTGGATACACTTGATGTTTGCCGCCAAAAGAGAAAAGCCGTAGCATTTTACGGTTAGCTGAGTCTCAATGCAAATTCACTCTTTCTCCTATTTGCGTTTTGAATTGAGATATGCGCAAACGCAAGTCAAACGCTATCCTTTCGAAAACAGAAAATGTCGAATAGTTACGTTGTTAGTCTCTTCAATGCCCTACTACTCGTTTATACTGGGAGCCCAGCGGAGACCCGCAGACGGGGCTCGTAGTACAGGGTAAGTCAAGCATGTGGGGCTGCCCGCTTCGCTTCGCTCGACGAAAAGAATTTCCAATTTGAAATTTATGAAATGGTTAAGATTACGATTGTCCAAATTCGCAGTTCGATTTTTTTTATAGAAATTTTGATTTGTGATCATCGCGCGACATGCCGGAACTTATCAAGAGCCACCACAAAACTAGCACAGAGAGCGTAGTAAGTAACCCTCGCGCCTAATGTTTTTGTTTAAGTCTAAATAGTGACTTCAGTTAACACGGCAACGCACGCATCAAACTAATACTTCGCAGTACATACCATAGGTCCACCAAAAGGATTGCTGGAGAGGGGCTGTCCGAAGTGCACGCTGTACACTATCGGGCTCGCCCCCATGCCCCGCTACGTAAAAGGAAACGAGGATATTCGTGGCGGCAGAAGGAAATCAAAGAAGCGAAGTGAGAACGAAACCAAGGGATTAGCATCAATGAACATTCCAATTCAGCCTTTTTAGCTCGGGCGCTTTTCTCCCCCGAAGAGCAAGAGCTGCCTCCTTGTACTGATGGTTCCGTGGGACAATAAAATAAAAAATGTATTGTAGGTTTCTTTCTGTCGTAATCATACCATCCCACCAATAATCAAATATTTTTCTGGGATAGGAAGCAAAGTTAGTGCTGCTATCGCACACCAAATAGGATTATATCCGTGGTACATCAAGTCAAACGATGACTCCTCTTGACATTTAACCTGTACATTTTCTTAAAACTGGTACGGCTCCGGTGCCGCACTGGGCCCGTTTATATGCGTGGGCAGATCGAACCGGTGTGCTACCGACGACACTGGTATGAATCATTACAATTATTAAGCAGGGTACGGATGGACGAATTGAAAAAACGTGAGGCGGATTGTAACAGCACTAGCGACAAGCATTTGCATTTTCTACTAGAAATTTTCTACAAGCTGCAAACAGATTTTAGCCAAGGTTCGCATTTTTAATTTTGTAAAGCATTGCCGGTTGATATCTGGCATCTACAGTTTAAGATAAAAAAAATCCAGACAGATTTTGCGGCTGCGAAGCAGGCGCAGGAGATGACAGTAGCTAGTAAGAAAATTAATTAATAAAAAAATAAAAGGGATTCAAACCAAATCCTATTATCCCAGCCTTCGCGGAGCCCTAGTAGTGGAACAATATAGTAATAATTGTATTGAGCTTATCGTTTATCTTGATATGTGTATGTAAAAAAAACGACAAATATTTGGCGCTGACAAAGCTCAATAATACTCATTGCAATACGCCTACTCCCAATAATCAATTATGCTAGTGGAACAATACCGTAATAACTGTTTTTTAATTATTTTTCGGACCCTAATTCCACTGTTGGATCCACGCTTGACCTATCTTCCTAGCGGCGCTGCCAAGTTTGGCTTCTCTCGTATGTTTCGTCGTCGTTAAAGTTAGCCACGACTCCGGCACTGCCCACTCGGTGGGCGATACGCATCACCTGAATCGCCTGAGTCTTCCCAAGCCAAAAACAATTAGTTTTCCCTATGACCCATTCAATCTGACATTGTAAACGGAGTCAATCTGGCGGAGCATTTTCGTCATTCAGACGAAAGCACTAGCTCTGAGGGCACTCCGACCAACAGGTTTTAATCTGCTCGCTGCGGCTGCACAACATGCACCTTTGCATGAAGTAGAACAGTACGACCTTCCCTATCCACAGAAGAACATAGGAACTCATCGCGCGCTGGAACCCGTGAAGCCGATTCTCGGTCACAAACACGAACTATTCGACCTTCTCGCCGCCATAACCGCTGGCAGCATCATCACAAAGCGAAGCAGCGTGCACACAATCGTACCAATGTGTTAACACCCTAACATCACTATGCAGCTCAAGTTTCTACTTGTCGTGAACGTGCGGCATTCGCGTCTCCCGATAATTCTTGGCCTTGGGGAAGGTAGCGATTTCGCGCAATGACCGAGCGGCGACGACTGACGGCAGCACCACCAAGAACCACGGCGCGGGTCCGGTCACAGCGCTTCCACCGCCTTCGCCATCAATGTCTTTAAACTGTATCAGCCAAGTTGAAGTAATGCATGTTCTAGTACACGGCTTTGAGTGTATAAGTCAGTGATGTATAAGTTTTGAGGGCTGAACAGCACCGATGAAAGAAGCGGTGGTATTAATACGACGTCAATTATGTCGAAAATCGCGGACAAGATCCTTATGAAGGTGAGAATGGCGCTGTGGCTCGAGTTTGGCAAGTCCGACGGCTACGTCAAGAAGGCGCTGAAGATGAAGGGGGTTCCTGGTCCTGCGCTGACGTCACACATGAACTACGAACTGTTTGTGGAATATGTGGACAAAGCTGAGAAGTATCGTCTGGATAAATGGGCCCGAGGAGCAGAGGTCGGAAAACAATATTGCAATACAGTAAATAATTGGGTTTTCCAATAAAAATCTTTATTATTGAGCGCCTCGGTTTTCAATACAATATCATATTGACCCAATTATTGACAATACATATGAAAAAAGACCGCTTTCATAGCATTTTTGACTGATGATGCCAAATTCTAGCTGCTAAGGGCATGGATTTGCTTAGCACCACACCCAAGCAAGTATTCCATACCCTAATGACTATTATAAAGGTAAGCATATATATGTCCGTTTTACCATTGCTGAAGCTCGCCGGTAGAAAACAGCTTTGTGTTGAGGCATCCAGCTTGAACCCACCCAGATTGAGGTGGACTGAGGTCGAATGAGGACTACTAGATTGGTAGAGACGAGTGGCACCAATTTAAGGCGCATGCATGCCTTGCTGTGAATGAATCACTTTACAATTCTCCAACAGGTTAACAGCCGCAGGGGCTTCGCTGAGCTACAATTGCGATTAACAACCACGAACTATGCAGCGCGAAACTACCAACCACGTTGCACCTACGTACGCTGCCGGCCTGATTCGGAGCTATGCACCTGATCCTTATGCTTATGGAAGCGGGCTTCCATCCCAGCAACACCCGACACCAAGTCCGCCCACAACCACACAGCCTGCGCCGTCGACTATGAACCGACCTGATAGCCCACTGACGAGCTGCAGAGGCGATACGACCGGGTCATCAAGGCATTCTCGATTGAACCTTTCGACGGGTCCTCTGGCCCCAGTGCTGTAGACGCTGGCGCGGCGCCGTGGCTTCAACGGTTCGAAGCCTTACTTGGGACCCACGAGGACCTACATGGAGTTCGACTATCAGACAACGTGAAGAATGCACTTTTGTTCCAGCAGCTCCAGGGCACAGCAAGCCAGTGGTATGTCACCAACATAGTGGAGCTACGTAGTTATTCGTTCGTGGAGTTAGGGCGCCGATTCAAACGCGAGATCGGATCGAAGCTGTCGAAACAGGAAATATTGATCATGGTGGCGAATGAACGGAAGCGGGGGTCCGAGACTTACCACCAGTTTTCACTTCGGTTACGATCGATGGCTGCTGCGTCGACTAGAGACGGACTGGAGACAGTGGAATCTAACAATTTCGCTTTAAGTGCCCTCATTTCCAACGCATGGCCGAGACATGCAGACTCGTTGCGACTGATTATAAACGAGGACTCTGCGGACCCACTTCGCGAAATGGAGCATGCTGTATCCCGACTGTGCGCGCTCGCAAAGAGCCAAGGTGTTGTGCTGACGCGTACGACCGGACATGGAAACCACGTCACTCGCCCGGTCGCGGGGAAGCGGAAGTCGATGGACCCGAGCGTGAAAAGGGAAAGTAGACAGCGAGAAGTCAAGCGCACTCGACGAGAACCTCGCGACTACTCCAAAGCCCGGTGTGGTGGATGCGGTGAGCTCGGCCATACGACCGGCTACCACGATCGTTTCGTAACCCGTCAGCAAGGGATGGCTCACGCTGCAGCAGCTAAGGAAGAGTCACATCACTCTGACAATGATGACCCTGAGTTCGGTAGGCAGGAAACGAGTGACGCCTCTGAGTGAAGACAACGGGAACCATGCAATGAGCTACCACCTCATCATTTTGACCCAGGAGCTCAGCGTGGCGCCCCGCTCATTGATTCTGCCTCGACTTACCACATCACCGGGGACCCGACAATTTTATCTGACCTGCATGACTGTGAAACTCACGCCGTGGAGCTTGCGGATGGACGCATGATTACGGGTAACCAGTTGGGGAAAATGATGATTGACGAGTTGCGCGGGATAGTGTTAAATGATGTCGACTACGTGCCTGGCTTCAGCCAAACGTTGATTTCGGTGAAACGATTGATCGACAATGGAATGAAAGTGGAGTTTAATGAGCACGGTTGCAACGTGTACGGCCCTCCGGTGATGCAAGGAGTGGCAACGTGCGGTGTCTACTCACTGAAGCTTCCGCGTTGCTTGGCTGCTGTTGCAGTCCAACCCAATTCTATCGACGATTTGCATCAAAGACTAAATCACCTGAACTACCGAGCGATTGTGCAACTGGCGAACTCCAACGCTGTCAAGGGATTAAAAATCGTGGGCTCGACTATTCCGAACAAACCCTGCGAAATCTGCGCGCTTAGCAAGATCCATCGTGCCGCCGCGCCTCAAGAGGCTTCAAGACCAAAGGAGTCACAAGATGAGGTCTGTCACGGGGATCTTGCAGGCCCCTTCAAGAAGAGTTACAATGGAAATCGTTACTACCTGGCTTTGAAGTGGAAGGGGCATACATCAGTGTATTTTTTTAAGCACAAGAGCGAGGCTGCCGAACACTTCCGAACGTACCTGAATGTGGTGAATCGTCGATTCAAGGACAAAAAGAACATCATGATATTCCGGTCTGACAATGGAGGAGAGTTCCTGGGGCACAGATTTGTGAAGGTCTGTAATGATGAAGGAATCACGATGGAGGAATCAGAGCCGGATGTACACCACCAAAATGGTGTGATTGAACGTGAGCACCGGACTATCACTGAAAGTGCCAGAGCAGCGCTACTACAGACGCAGCTACCCCATTACTTGTGGGAATATGCAATTCGAAAAATCGTCTTTGCACGGAATCGAGTGCTCAACAAGCGTGAACCTACCAAAACACCATTTGAAGTGTTTTGGGGACGGCGACCGGACCTGAAGAACGTGAGAGCTTTCGGGCAACGCTGCGTTGCGCTGATCCCCGATGAAAAGCGGTCCACTACCTACAAGTTCCGACCCAAAGGTCGAACTGGTGTATGGAAAGTGATCCTCAGAGGAAAGGATACTTTGTGTACGTCACTGGACGAGGTCACCAGGTCGTTCATAGTCGCAGCGTCGTCTTTCTCGAGCCACCAAGCAATCTGCCGACACCGTGTGACGATGACGAGGACCCCATGTGTGCTGGCAGTGACAGTGAGTCTGAGAATGATGGTGACGACTACAACGACCTGAATGGTGACGAGAACACGGATGCCGCCACCAATGGTACGGACAACATGAAAAGAGCACGAAAACGAGGAGGCCTCTTGCTTCACCCACGACGACCTCGTCGTTCCCACCACAATGATGCATTGCCGCTTCGACGTTCAGCTCGTATTGCGGGGCGGGCACTAAGCGCTGCAGGAGCAACGCTGGATGAGATTATCCAGGCACCACTCAATCTCCGAGAAGCGCGAGCATCACCACATTGGCCAAAGTGGGAAAGGGCTATCCTCGCTCGCCGAGATACAAGCTCTACGCGACAATGACACATTTGAGCTGGTTGATCCTCCACCGGGAGTGAACATAATTGGCACGATGATTGCCTTCCGCGTGAAAGAAGATGAAAATGGTTCTATAGAACGCCTGAAAGCACGGATTTGCGCACAAGGTTTTACACAAGAGTTCCTGAAGGACTAGTTTGAAACCCACGCTCCCGTGGCCCGACTGAACTCGATCCGCGTCTTCTTAGCGTTAGCTACGCAATTTGGATTGCGCGTACGCCAAGGCGATGTCCCTACCGCGTACGTGAAGGCGAGGCTGAAGGAGGTAATCTATGTACGCCAGCCGAAGGGATTCGATGAGGGCAGTCGCACGAAAGTCTGGCGGCTCAAGAAGGCTCTGTACGGTTTAAAGCAAGCCGGACGAGAATGGAACGCTGAGCTCAATGCTTTCCTCGTGGAATATGGATTGATTCCAACGAGAGAGGACCGCTGTGTCTACATCCACCCCGACCATGTACTCATCGTACTAATTTATGTGGACGATACCCTTGTAGGCTACCGAGATGAGTCAGTCATGCAAAATTTGATGAGCGCGCTACACACGAAATACGGAGTCAAGGACCTGGGTGAAGCGCGATGGTTCCTTGGCATTTCCCTGCATTTTGACCACGCACATGGTGTTACCACCCTGAACCAGACAAAGTTTGCTACCGAGATCACGAAGCGCTTTGGAATGGATGAGTGCCGGCCTCGAAAGACACCGATGGATAGAGGAACGATACTGTACAAGAGCGACAAAGATGAGGAGGCCGCCGGAGACGTGCCTTACAGACAAGCTGTTGGCGCGCTGTTGTATCTGGCTCGGGTAACCCGACCAGACATAATGTACGCTGTGAACCAAGTGGCCGCTCATGTCTCCAACCCATCCAAAGCACACTGGACTGTCGTCAAGAACATACTCCGCTACGTTGAAGCCACAAAGACAATGGGACTTACGTACCGAAGGTCAACTGCTGAGCCACACGTGCGCGTCTACACCGACGCCGACTGGGCCAACAATGAAGAAGATCGTCGCTCCATCTCAGGCGCCGTTGTTCAAGTTTTCGGCTTGCGCTGTAGCCTGGCAAACCAAGCGCCAGCGTGTCGTGTCCAAGTCCTCCAAGTACATTGCTGCAGACAATGGTGTAGAGGAAGCAAGGTGGACAATGTTTTTGGTCACTCGACTGATGAAGCTCAACCAGACGATCCCGATCCCCGCCGTGATTGACAACAAATCAATCATCAAGTGGCTCACCAATGGGAAAAGTTCAGACGCACAGAAGACCGTGGATTGTAATTTTTCTCGATCAGAGAGGCAGTCGACAACGGTGAACTGAAGCTGACGTACTGCCCAACCAATCTAATGTTGGCTGACACCCTCGCCAAGGCTTTACCGACGACCCGATTCCAAGAACTGCGGGAAGCACTGGATGTGCATACGTTCAGCGCTGGCGGGGAAGTGTTGAGGCATCCAGCTTGAACCCACCCAGATTGAGGTGGACTGAGGTCGAATGAGGACTACTAGATCGGTAGAGATGAGTGGCACCCATTTAAGGCGCATGCTTTGCTGTGAATGAATCACTTTTCAATTCTCGAACACTTTGAGCGACCGATAAGACACCGACCGCTATCATAATACTGTGAGCATACAACATGTAACTACGCGTAGATTAAGCCTCAGGTAGCCTTCACAGTGAAAGCTTCACTACTATATAATAAAATTTTGAATATCAATGCAAATTATGATACTGAACCGCAGCTGCTGACCTTCTTCCCCCCTAAATCGATATAACAGTATGTTTTATGCGCCAATACAATATCAATTACGGCAATATTTATTATTGTTTGTCAAATAATTGTAATATTTGTTAGGGCTTCGCAATGATCCCAATACAATATAAAACGGACCTCTGCCGAGGAGGCTTCCCTACGTACGATATCTGGGTAAAACTCGGTTTCAGCCACATCACCAGCGCGGCGCAGATAGAGCGGATCAAGAAAACTAACGTCTATAGAATCTACAAGCGTTATGTGAACGCATTGACAACGTTATTTCGACGATGGGCTTTGGGTATCATCTTCCCAAGCTCGTCTCAAATATGCGTATCCGCCCGCGTCAATTCCCGCTAACCCTATATGAGACTACGGCGAACAAAATGTTACTAACTCGCCATTGAGAGTTATCGAGATAATCGACTTTAAAGTTGACCAATCAGAATTCGTACCTATCCGGACATCGAAATTTTGAATGTGAAAGTTACTCGTAGAAAGCGGAAAAGACTTGAATGCGATTGCTTTTAACGAGAGTTTTCTGATAATGTATGCTAAGCAAATTTTGAGAAAGAATTGAAGTCACCATCGTTCAAAACGTGGTAGGATTTTGACCCTTCCCAAATGGGGATAGTTTTTTCAAGTGCCGACAACTCCTCGAATTTTCAACATTTCGATGCAAACAAGGGCTCAAAATTCGCACGACAGCGCTCTTCACGATAAAGCCACTAAATCGCGATTCGTACTTAGGTTCGTAAGTAATTTTTTGTTTGCCGCCGTCTCAATAATATGGGAAAGACTACGCGCTTTTTTGATTTTGCTGGCACTTCCGTGCACTTGCTTGGTTAAAGTTTCAACCTAAAACGGAAGGAACTGTAGCCACATGATATTATACATGTAATGCATGTAGGTGGCCACGAAATGGCGGCGCCATCGCTTCTCGTGGCCAGCAGGAGGCCCAGGAGTATCTTTCGCCGGCACGCTCCATGCATTTGAGACAGCCTCAAACAAAAATATACTAATCAACCAAAGTACGAATCGCGATTTAAGCATACCGCTCGAAAGAGCCATGTTCTGTGCTTCTTTTGAGCTATTGAGAGATGAAAAATGTTAAGAACTCGCGGAGTGACGTCGGTCTGAAAAAAATATCTCCATTTTCGGACCCCCCAAATCCCGGATTTTATTTGGGGCTTGTGAGATCAACATTTCTTCAAAATTTACGTATTGTATATTTCTGGAAAGTCCGTGCTAAAAGTAATAGAAGTATAGTATTTTTCGCTTAATACGAGTGATTTTAACTTTCAAATTTTCGATGTCTTTTAGGTACGAAATTTGATTGGTCAACTTCAAACGCGATTATCTCGATAACTCTAAATGGTGGCTTAGTATCATTTTGTTTGAGGCTGTCACAGCATATTACGCTTCTATCCCAGATTGGGGGAGTATCTAAGGACATTTTTAAATTAGAACACCAATAGATAAGTCGTTAACCGAAACTGTGCCCGTATTTGTTCTTAAAGTCGTACCCAAGAGGCTGAGCGCAGGTCCCATATCCTCTGTTTAGCGACCCGCCCTAGCCCACAGCACTGTCGCAAGGGAAAACGAAGCCCAATTCCAAAAGTCCATCAACGCAACGAAAGTAAAGCCAGGGACATCGAAAAAGCTGCAGACATCCTCGCCATAAAGGGGCTTCGGGGTCACCAATGAATACTCGCCTCTTACGAAAGAAGGCTCGTTGAACCTAACGGGAAAAAGAGCCGATAACAGAGGTGTATCAGGATTGAGTCCCCTCCGACTCGAAGGTGCCAAGTCACATTGCAATTCGCCTCGCCCGTCCAACTTTCGAAGCAAACCAGCAGCCATGAAGTTCCCGCCATCGGTTTGTCCGTTCCGGGCGCTGGAGCTCACCGACTCGTAGAAGAACACCACCAAGTCCATTTTTGATGGAATTTCGTCGGAAACAATGGCCAAGTACGAGCGGATGCGGGTACAAGCCAACGGCATCTCGACCATCGAGCGCTGGAAGCTCATCAACGGAAGAAAAACATCGTCGCCTACCAGGACCGATGCGCCCTCGCAGAGCAGTATGGCTGAACTGACTTCGGGGAGTAGAAGACCTCGACGGCCTAGAACGCAGACATGTGGAAGATAAAATCTTACAACGCGTAGGAAACTACTACTACTATGGATAGAAATGTACTTGGCGTCGATCACCGTGCGGACGGACCCTCGAAGAGCGACTTCAGATTCTCTTCAACAAACGTTTTTTTTTTGTTTTACTTATCCTATCCTTTTGGATAGATTCACATAATGACTGTGGTTCGCTATGCATCTCAACACAGGATAAAGCTGCTTGAAAAGTGATAACCTATACAGAACGTCACAGTTTGGGAACGCTTAGCTTAGTTGTCGCCCTCGACATCCGGGTCCACGATCTGGCGCAGAGCGTCCGGCACATAGTCGAACGCAGCGTTATCCTCCACCGCGTAGGGCTCAATCAGGCTGGAGCCATCGTCGTGGGCGGCGGCCTCGAGCGCGTCACAGGCCTCCAGGAACGTCATGGCGTTCAGCTCGTCGTACGTGAGCTTTGTCGCCTCCATAAACTTCTGGATACGGAAGTTACGGGCCAGCTTGTTGACCGTGATGTTGTCGGGCGACTGCACCAGCTCCGTGTCCACAATGTTGATGCCGATCTCCGTGTCGCTCGTCATGCTACGACGGTTCCAGTTGGCCGAGCCCAGCGACACATACACGTCGTCCACGATCACCAGCTTGCTGTGGATGTACAGCTCCTTGGACTCCTTGGTCGAATAGAGCTTGAACTTGTCCGGGTATGCCTTCTGGATGGGCGCCACCATGTCGTACAGGTACTTGGCGTAGCCCGTGTAACCAGCCTCGACCGTACGCTGCACGATGACGATGAGGCGCTCGATGCTGGGCATCATGTCCATGATGGCCTCCAGCAGCTCCGGCACCAGGATGAAGTACTGGTCCTGGATGAAGATATAGTTCTGCGCGTTGCGGATGGCCTTGATGCGCGCGTGGAAGATGGACTGCTCGCCCTGCGGCGCGAAGTTGTAGTGGTCGTAGTCCGGGCTGAACGTGCGGCACAGCTGCACGGCGTGGGTGCCGTCCGTGGGGATGTCCAGCGGCGTCGCGCTCTCGTCGATGGGCGGGAGCTCCGAAAACTCGGGGTTCTCGAAGTCCAGCAGGTCGTCCATGAGGTCCTGCGACGGCTTGTCGCGCGAGTTCCAGCGGTCGAGGAAGTTGCAGGCCACGTCCTTCGTGGCGGGGCCCTCAATGCGGGCGTGGGCGTCAAGCCAGCCGTTCCACAGGCACTTGATGCCCGTGCGTTCGCGCAGCTCGGCCTGGTCGTGCTCGAGCGTGTCCCAACGGTCGTTGGTCAAGTCCACGCCGCCCACGTAGGCGACGAGGTCGCGGCCCTTACGCACGATCACCGACTTCTGGTGGTGCGACGACGTGGCGTGCGGCAGGCGGTCGTCGTACACGAAGCGCGCGGGGCCGTTCTGCTCCGGCGGGGGCAGCGCGTTGATGAGGTCGCGCACCTCGTGGTTCTGCGCGCGCTCCGTGATGTTGGACCAGACGAGCATGCGCCAGTCGGCGCCGCGCTTGACGGCGGCCTCAGCCAAGTCGCAGAGCTTCGTGTCCGGCTCGTGCGGCTTGAAGGGCACGTTGCACGTGCCCCAGCCCGTGAGGTAGACGAGGTCGCCGCGACGCACGTCCAGCATGTCGTCGGCCACGTCGTGGAAGTAGCCGGCGGACGCGGCGTAGAGCTTGACGCGGTTGCCCTTGGAGTAGAGGTGCATGCCCTCGCGCTTGTAGCCGTCGCGCGACGTGCGCATCTCCTCCTCGGTCAGGAACCAGCGCGAGGGCTCGAGGTAGGGCTGGTCGAAGGGCGCGGTGGCCGCCTTCTCCGGCTTCTTCTCCTGCTGGAACGGGTCCAGAATGAAGTGGAAGGCGCGGCTGAGTCCGTCCATGGCGGCAAAGAGACTGGCGGGAGGTGTCGACTTGAGCTGGAAAGCGCAAAAGCTGGAATGAATGAAGTGAGGGGGATCTTGGCTCTCGAGCCTGGCTATATGCGTCTTTGTATGGCGCCACGCATGCGCGGAAATCTCAGTTGGATTTCGGCTCTGGCCAATGAGCGCACGCAGCGGCGCATGTGGGTTCACTTCTTAGGCATGGAGCACGGTATAGCTCGACCCGCTGTTGCCTGTTGATACGGATGCTACTCGATGCTGGCTGAGACCATATTGCTGAGACGGACTGCGGAGGCGCCTTTTACCGTCGCGGTTGTGATATCCGAGCAAGTGCTGGCAGCAATAATGGAGATCGGCGCCGCCACCGCAAGAGTTAATCGTTGCGGCCTCGGCATCGCCGGATTACTGTGCTGTGCAGACCTTGCTGCCCACGCGCTCACTCTGGTCTATGCGCGTAAATCACCGTCGACCGATGCATTTGCTTTCTTGCTCGAGGCCAAGGCTTCGTTACTCGACTCGAGTAATGGGGCAGTCGAGCTCGACTGTACACGGGCAACACCATGTTACATGTGTATTCGCTAGGAGACGTGTTCGCTCTAGTGGCGAAGCATTTCATCTTCCCTCCTGGGATGGTTCGCAGTGATGATACTTCGGCACTGTACCATGTTCGAGAGGGGTATCCTGACATATTCAACAGCCACCTCCGCCCGCTTTGCTGATTTCCAAGAAAAATGATAAAAGTAAGCGCTTTGATATCAGGTCGCCTGGATTGTGGTGTGTGAGTCTTGTATGCATGCACTGTCATAGCCCTCGACTGGGAAGGCGTGCTTACTTCAGCAACGAGGACGGATGCGATGGTGTTGAGTCGAATCGCAGGAGTTAGTTCACAGCATTAGTGTCGCTGGGTAAGTTTATAACGGGAAAGTAACGTGTGCCAAAAGTGTTAAAATTGCTATAAAAAAACTTAACACAGATTATTTACTGGAAGGTCACTTCAAATTATGCTGGTTTCATCAAAATTAAATCCGCAAGTGGCCCAAGCCACCCCATACTTTCTCGGAAGCATCTAAAACATGCTCTGGCACGTTTTCACGCTGTGGTTGCTGCTAGTTCAGGCGTCATTAGCGCTCCTATCTTCCTACCCATGAGACCACCCCTTAGCTGTCCATTTTCGATACTCAAGCTCAGTTGTTTGAAGGGTCGAGCATGCGCTATTTTTAGAATCGACTCGATAGCAGCATTATCAGTGAAGTGGTTGCACATCATAGCATGCTCTGCTTTTAATAATGCTCTTCCTCCTAAGTGCAATTGCGTATCATTTAGAGCACACGCAGCGCTTTCCAACGATGTTTTTATCCCCATGTGGAAGGACCTAACGGATTTAAAGACTTTTGACCTAGCATAGCAAAAGGCGGCTTTTCGTGACCTTCCAGTAAATAATCTGTGTTAAGAGAGGATGCTAAAGAGTTGTTCCTCGGGGCTAATGAAGTAGTATCAAACCCATCTACAATTTCGGTTTGCTGAATATCAAGATGGCCGTGTTGAACGAAGCTCTGCAGGGTTTTTAGAAGCTGCCTTACGAACGCAAAACTACTGTACCAGATCGCAAACTTACACATATTCATAGTGAGCTGCCGACAGGTGGCTAAATGGTTTAACATCTTCTTGCCATACCAACTAAGTGACTTGTACTATCGGAGGAGGAGGGGGGGGGTCGCACTAGTCTATTTAACTTACGGTTTACAAAATTGTCTGGAAAGTCCCAAGCCAGGTTAGCAGCGGCGAAGCTGATGGTGGCCCCGGTACGTGACTCGCCTCATAAAGAGGTGCCTCTTTTGGGGTCTGCTGGAAAAGATCTAAGCAGATCAATAAACGCGTTCCTTGTTCCATGGCCCGCGGATTTCGCCATTCTCGTTTCGCTAGCGCGCGGAGTTGACGTAGTCCGGCTGCTTGAAAAGCAGCAGCACTGCTTTCGGTTGTGACTTGATTACCTTGATGCACCACTCGATTCCTCTGGAGCCTCAATACTGTTATGCAGACTCCACCAATTCGTTTCCGCTCTCGCTCGTACTCTGGTGCTTCGTCTTGAAATGCATAACTGAGTCGATGGCTAAGTTTTGACGATAATGAAGGCGGCGATCGGGATGCACAACTTGCCATGAAGTGCTGGAATTGCGAGACCTGACATTGCCGGACCGTCCGGTGTACTTGTACTATCGACTTCGGAGCTGGAGTCGATTAAAAAAATGCATAGCCCTATGCATTTTTTTTTGCCTAAGCATAGGGGTCTGCTCGCTACAGCACACCAACTTGTTATTTCCGACCGTGGTTGTTCCTCGCTGCAATCAAGGTACGCCGTAGTGAACGTGTTTTTAAGCACGGAGTCGCTGGAAGCACAGAGTGCATCAATCCTTGTCGAAGGCGCTAGGACTTCGTGATCTTGGTGGTAGATAGAAAATTCCGAACTAACCAGTGCAGGTACTACCAGCAAGATGAACGGGTTATCACGACAGTCGAATCGTGGTCAAGCTCGATGATGATGTGGTATATTGGACTTAGTCTGAATCCTAACAACCCTATAGCCGATGTTTTACCTTCGGCCGCCCTCCCTCAGTCGGCAGCTTACTCTTCAGTGCTGTAAACTTCCATAGCCCACTTCGCGTAGGTCCGTCGTGCCAGTTGCGCTATTCGATGACAGTTTGCACTGAAAGCCTCGTTTATTATGTTTCAGTCGCCAACTGTGCTAAGCTGCGGGAGCTTGCGTTGGTGGTTCTGGGCAGCGAGGTCCATGACGCAACCCGGACTTTGTCTGCTCGCTGCCGGCACTTGTAAAACCAGATTCGTAGCCTTGTGGACTTCGGGGGCGTTCCGGCGGCCATCGCCCTTATCAGCAGGGCATTGTCTCCCACAATGTGAATCCGTTTCTGCTTCTGTCCGTTCGCCTGGCTGAGGACATGAAAAACGTCACAAAACCCGCAATATTCAACGTGCATTTGGGAGATGGGATCACAATGCTTGCGCCCCAGAGTACTTCTGCGTGTTGATCGTGACCGCCTTGGCAAATCAAGACACCGCCTGCTCCGTTTCTTCTTGGGATTCCGCTCGTGCAAATTGTGGCCAAGCTCGCTCAAAGCATAGCTTTATCTCGAATTTCGAGACTCGAAACGTCAAAGCATCCGTGCGTACTAGCCCAGCGTTATGTCGCCATTAGCGCATTGATATCAATAATTCTGAATAGAAATGCAGACTTGTTCTGTTTCTGCTATTTGATTCAGTGTAGCAGAAAAATATGAAGTAGCTAATAAGGTTAGTGAATTCCGCAAACATGTTCGTGATTTTTACAACACACAAACTCACTGTAGGTGCTGACTGCAAACGCGTTTGTATGTTTTGCTGCTCAGTCACGAGCATGACAAATTACTGGCTCCTCAAGAGGACTGTTACCCGTTGCCGTATCCATATTCCACGTACGCACACGGCGCAGCCAGTCCTACATAGCTTGAGGACTTTATGGTTAAGAAGAAGCACTGCGTAAAAGTCAGCTTGCGGTAAATGAGAAAGAGGTTCAACGTTTTGTAGTTGAAACCTTCAAGGGAATTATAAAAAAAACTATCTAACTCCACAAACATATTAGCCAGATTCACTACACTCTAACAAACAGTTTGCACACGCTAGTGTTAGCTACACAGTGTTTGTGCGAACACTACATATATAAGGCTTTCAAGTCGACATTTAACACCAACCCTCCCTACTTAAAAGGAATATAGGTCAGGTGTATATACAGCGGAAATGTATGGAATACTTTGGAATGCTATGAAAATTGGTACATACATACTTTACTATGTTATCTTTCATGTGGCAAAATTTCAAGAGTGCACCTTTAGTTCTGGCGAAGATATAGCTCCTTGTAACTAGCTTCATCGGCCGCTCGACGCATTCTCGAGCTCGAGTGGCCGAAGCAAGGTATCTTGACCCACTAACCTAACCCTGCGCGAATTATATCACCACAGACGTGGAAGTACAGAAGGTGGCGCCTTAGAGGGACGGTATATATTGTAATAACCGGTCAAAATGCCCACCTGTAGCAACCGCTTATTAGGTCTCAATCACCTAATTAATCAGAGTATAAATCAGGGTATAAATCGATTGTGATCCATATGCATCGCTGGGCTGCACGATTGTCCAGTAAAAGGTGGGCATTCCGCTCGAAACACGTCTATATCGACTGGTTTCACATAAATCGATCGTACCCATTCACATATGCATCGCAGGGACGCGATCGATTTGTAAATCGATCGAGCTAAATCAGGGTGCTAATCAATCGATTTACAATACAAATTCTTATATTAAAAAAGTACAGATCTCTGTTACCAGCATACGAATTGCATAAGTTAGTCGAACTCGGGAGGGATGACCTTCCTTCAAATCTGCTTCAACTTGTCTCACGAGTAAGGATTGTATGATGCTCGGTGAAGCAATTCCGCCGCAATGACAAGCAAAATGGCATATTGCAGGCACCGCACACTACCGTTGTCTGCCGCAAGTGTCCTCGACACCTGCACAACTCGCACAACACCCTACGCGCTTGAAAGATGGGCAGGTGGAACTGTCCATCCATGACTTGCTGCTTCTTCGGACTGGCTGTGACTAGCTGCCAAGCTAATTCCTGACGAAGTGCGCGTTGACTTTGCGCATTTCGGTTCGTTCGAGTACAAATATTTTGGTGCAGAATGTAAGAATTGATGATAGTCGTGTCTAAAAGCCGAGTCCATTGCCACATCTGGGCTATTGAGGACGGCAGAATACGTGCAGGCCGTGGCGCGGGACGAGCGGCACGTACTCCTCGTTGCTTGCAGTAGCGCTCGGTGTGGTGCTTGCTTTCATCGGTAGGCTTTGCACTCAGTGTCAACCACCCTGTGCCCTTTTTCGTGTGACCAAAATAATGGCCCTTTTACCGGGGCAAGGGCTCCTATTTTGGTCGTTTGAGGCCAGTATGTGAGTATTTTTAGCGTTCTTTTTTTGCTAGAATCGTCTGTTTCCATGCAATCAACTGATGTCTGCGGTTTTCGCAAAAACACGTGCTTTCGCCCAGAAAAAATACCAAAATGCAAATTTGCATTCCCCGGGCAGAGCTTTTCCCAAAACCAGTACCAGTACCAGTCCCAAAACCAGCAGCAGTAGTAATCCGAAGTAGAGTGGACCACTTGCATTTGGGGCAGCGCGGTGTTGATCGAGAATCATGAGTGCGGCAACTGCGCCGTGTGCACGACGGACTACATGCTACTGCGAAGGAGATGACCGGATCTCTTAGTACTGCGGTGCAGGTACGCGTAGTCGTAGCGTGCGAGGCTGGTGCAAAGATACGGGGGTTCATCGTGCCGTCGACTGGCGTGTACCGCCGATGCCAAACGAGAAGGCGGTAAGCTTGGCGACTACATGTAGCGTTGCATGAGTTTAATGCCTGCCTCGTTGCTAACATCAGCGAGCTCTGCGTGTACCATGTACTGTATCTAGACTCCAGAGACCAAGATAGCGATTCAGTGTAGCGGCGTGCTCGGCTGAAGGTGGGAATCCACCAAGGTGAAGACTCCAGTGGTCATGACAGCGATGCTACAGTGCAGAGTGAGGTGACTCTGCGCGTCCACGCTCAGCTGTGGATAGAAGAGATCGATGCGGTGACTCTCTCGTAGGAACTGAACGAAACTTGTCTTCGGAAGCACCGAAGCTGCAAAAGCAGGAAGTTTGTCTTTGGAAGCGTTAAAGTTGACGCGAGTGTTGCCTAGTAGAGTTGCGTTGAGGTACTTGTGCCGACGGTGGTCTTGGGGTGTAGAGAGCAGGAGCTGCAGCAGGTCGAGGGAGGGTGAAGCTTTTGCTCCAGAGGGGGGAAGCTGATGTGAAGGCCATGGTTGGAAGCATCGACCCCAACGATAAAGATAGCATCTCGTCCTCGCGTACTTGTGGCCCAAATGCAAGTGGTCCACTCTACTTCGGATTACTACTGCTGCTGGTTTTGGGACTGGTACTGGTCCTGGGATTAGGACCCCAGACTGGTACTGGTTTTGGGAAAAGCTCTCCCCGGGCACGAAGAGATAGGCTGGGTGTTGTAGAGATGTTTAGAGTGTTTAGGGGAGGTTCCCCTTGCTTAGGACTTGCGGCCACCTACGCGGGGGTGTCGTGTTTGGGCGAAGTTCTTACGAATAATGCTGTCCTTAGCACAGTTCACTTAGCGCCATGCGTCTAGATAGATTCTTAGCTTTCTAGAGGTATATTTGTATTATGATTTGGCGAATAACCGCACTTATGCCTGCCCAAGTACACCCGGCCAAACGGCAGTTCTGGTCCTTCTCTATCCAGAGGTCCTGTGTTAAGAGCATCTCGACAGTGTGGTTGGTACAGGACGACGCGAAGATCTGCTTCGTATTGGCTCGACACCTGGACATTACAGATCCGCTTCCTAAATTGAAACGCATGGCGGGACCCCGGTGCTCTCACCACAAACCGGTAACCATATCACACTCCTAAGTACTAATGTATTATATATGTGGGTAATGAATGCACGGACTAGGATGTACTTGGCCTAACTACTAGCTGGTTTTGCGCCGAAAAACTGCAGTATGGAAGGCTGGTTGCTACGGGGGTGAGAGGGGCTTTTTCGGGGTCGACCTGGTTTACGCTTCTTTTGTTTTTGCTTGTGAGCTCCTTGATCATCAGTGTCGGGTCCACCCGGAGTCTTACCATCTTGAACAGGAGCATTGAGAATGGCTTCAGGTACACTCGGGTGTGGAGAAGTGCTGAATAAGACTTGTTCTCCGAGAAAGGCGGCAGGGCCGATCGACTGGAGGCGTGGGAGATCGGCGATTGAGAGACAGGCAGCAAGGATCTACGGATCAGAAGGAGTTCTTCGGGAGGTCTCAGGTGGTCCGATGACGCCGGCGCGTAAGGCAGGACATGTGGCAAGCCGGATTGTGGGTGATCGTGCCCGAACCGCGGCGTGATTCGGGGCCGACTCAAATCCAGATCGACGACAGAACCTGCGGAACTGGGATGGCCGAGGACAGAAGGTGATAGATCGCGCGGTTATAGGCCGCCTCCTTTCGATCCTCCCGCTTCTTCCGCTTGCGTGGAGGAACAGTCGATTGAGAGCCTCCCGTGGCTCGAGGTGGCGTGCTTGGTGCTGATGCCGACGGACGCAAAGTGGTTTCGACTGGTAGAGCCAGGGGGATTTGGCCTGCAGCGACAAAAATAAATAATTCCCGAAGTGAGCGGTTTTTATGCGGGACCCCGGGGTCCCGCCATCCGTTTCAATTGTCGAATACATGTAGCATAATGCTTCCACTTTGTCAAACAAAAGCTCAGTTGGTCCATGCTCATAACTGGCCCCCTCCTTTGCTTTCTCCCTGAGAATTAAATCTTTGTTGCTCCTATTTAATTATGTCACTTCGCAATTTACTCTTGCAATTGGCACGTCTTTCCTAGGTTTCCGTACCGATACGAGCTACTTCATCATGACATTGTTTATTTCGTGCGTCGATCGAATCAAAAAGCAATTTAGCGTCTCTTTGCAGGCGCCGTCCCAGGTGGTTGTCCGGTTCAGGCGTCCCCGGGCTAGTCCCGGCTGTATATTTTAATGTACCTCGCACAGGAAGTACAACAAGCTCTCAAGATTTGCGCGCTACTTCTGCAAACATATTGATTTATATGAGTGTACAGCGAGACCTACTGCGACAAGTGGCACGTTGCGGAAATACCTCCACCGTATTCTTGAGCTAAGCTTGTAGTAAGTCAGTACATACTCATTTATGTTCAGACCGCGTGAATTTTGTTGATTCTTAAACATCATAAGTACCACTGTGGCGAATAGGCCGTATTCGCTTTCAATCAGTGCTAGAAATTCTCAAAACTGGAGTAATGACAGCTTTCAAGGTAAACTTCAGAGGCTAGAACATGACGCTACCTTAAACTTGTATCTCGATCGATAGAGGTTGCTGCAGCGGTATCTGCTCTCATGGCGTAGCCGCAGTCCACGGGTCTTCGGCCGCCCACTTGCTAGCAGCCGGGGACTGCCAAGTTGAAAGCCTTTCGCTCAAGGTAGGGAAGTCGCTGTTGATCTTGCTCTGCAGTAGCTCGTGCACAACTTTGTTCCCTTCCGCATTGTAGTGCAGGCCATCGAGCAGGAAAGCGTTTCTTTCCGGCTGAGCCATGGCGTTAAAGTGCGCGTTCAAGTCGAGCACCGGGACGTCGAGAGTGCCAGCGACTTCCACACACGCTTGGGAATAGTTGCTTGTCACGGCGTTGGAGCGGTCGACAAGTCCTCGCTTGGTATCGTTTCGCTCTGAGTTGATTCGGGCGCCATCGTCGACGTGGGCTGGAGTGATAAGCAGGATGGCAGCATCAGGGGCAAGTTTCTGGAACCCGTTGACGATTTTGACCAAATTCTCCTTGTAGTTAGTAACCGGGACGTGCATCTCGGGGTTGCTGCCGTTGGTCAAGACAGCGTCGTTGGTGCCCAGCCAAAGCGTAATGAGTGACGGGATAGCGTACTTGTTGCTGGTGAGTTCTTCCTCAATGGTGGGCAGCACATTGTTCAGGAACCATTTCGTGTTGTATCCCGAGACGCCGCGCACAATAACGTCAGCCGTACGGATATAATCATTCTGCAGTAGCGAAACCCAGCCCATTCTCGATGGGTCGGCGCCTAGCTCCGTTAGCGAATCACCGGTAAGCAGCAAAGTTGGTCGCGAATTAGGGTCGATGTCCTTGATCGTTGCTTGCGACTCCACCGATACAAAGAGTAGGCAGGCAAAAACGAATAGAGCCGCAGTGCTTGTAAGGGTAGGATACCCCATCGTGTTAGTGGTGGATTCAACTGTGAGAGCGGCGTTTCCAGGACTCCCGAGACATATTAGCTCGGCGGCAGGATAGACACATGACGCCGAGGTACGCGTGACGCTAATAACAATTTGTCCGACTACAACTGTAGGGCAGATATACTGTATACTCGTTCTGCTTGTTAGCGTGACGCCTAACGGATCCGGCCTATTCGCCACAGTGGTACTTATGATGTTTAAGAATCAACAAAATTCACGCGGTCTGAACATAAAGGAGTATGTACTGACTTACTACAAGCTTAGCTCAAGAATACGGTGGAGGTATTTCCGCAACGTGTCACTTGTCGCAGTAGGTCTCGCTGTACACTCATATAAATCAATATGTTTGCAGAAGTAGCGCGCAAATCTTGAGAGCTTGTTGTACTTCCTGTGCGAGGTACATTAAAATATACAGCCGGGACTAGCCCGGGGACGCCTGTAGTGACAGATTGTGCGCTGCATTTGAGACACAAGTGAGGCGTGGCAATCAACTCTTCTTCACCAAGTTCGATGCTTGAACATGTCATTTAACCTGATTTCCACGAACTATTATGGCTGCCCCATGGATGATCTTCCGAACGAGAGTAATCACGCACTATCCTGCGCTGAGACTACATTCCTACCTAAGTTGCTCGTCATTCCAGAATTTTCCACCTCCAGCACAAGCGCGACTCCGACGCCATGTCGACATCTCCATTCGATGAGATCAGCCACGGGCTCAGCCGCGCGTTCGAGTTCATCGTCGACCCGTTCCACCTCAAGAAGAAACCTGCCAAGGAGGCGACCGCGCCGTTCGACCAGCCCTACCTCGAGCCTACTCGATGGTTCCTCACAGAAGAAGAAATGAAGACGTCCCGCAACGGCCACGAGCGCCAGGGCATGCACCTCTACTCCAAGGGCAACCGCGTCAAGCTGTACGTCGCGACTGCGGGCTACTTCAGCGACGTAGCCGACGACATGATGACGGTCCACCAAGGAGACCTCGTGTACCTCACCGGTTGGGGCACCTGCAACGTCCCGTTCAAGCCGCACGAGCCGGACACGAAGCTCTGCGACTTGGCTGAGGCCGCCGTCAAGCGCGGAGCCGACTGGCGCATGCTCGTCTGGTCCAACCTCACTGAACGAGCACAGAACCACGAGGTGCGCGACCTCATCAACGCGCTGCCCCCGCCGGAGCAGAACGGCCCCGCGCGCTTCGTGTACGATGATCGTCTCCCATTCCCCACTTCCTCGCACCACCAGAAGTCGGTGATCGTGCGTAAGGGCCGCGACCTCGTCGCCTACGTGGGCGGCGTGGACTTGACCAACGACCGTTGGGACACGCTCGAGCACGACCAGGCCGAGCTGCGCGAACGCACGGGCATCAAGTGCCTGTGGAACGGCTGGCTTGACGCCCACGCCCGCATTGAGGGCCCCGCCACGAAGGACGTGGCCTGCAACTTCCTCGACCGCTGGAACTCGCGCGACAAGCCGTCGCAGGACCTCATGGACGACCTGCTGGACTTCGAGAACCCCGAGTTTTCGGAGCTCCCGCCCATCGACGAGAGCGCGACGCCGCTGGACATCCCCACGGACGGCACCCACGCCGTGCAGCTGTGCCGCACGTTCAGCCCGGACTACGACCACTACAACTTCGCGCCGCAGGGCGAGCAGTCCATCTTCCACGCGCGCATCAAGGCCATCCGCAACGCGCAGAACTATATCTTCATCCAGGACCAGTACTTCATCCTGGTGCCGGAGCTGCTGGAGGCCATCATGGACATGATGCCCAGCATCGAGCGCCTCATTGTTATCATGCAACGTACCGTGGAGGCGGAGTACACCGGATACGCCAAGTATCTCTACGACATGGTCAATCCGATTCAGGAGGCGTACCCGGACAAGTTCAAGCTCTATTCGACCAAGGAAGCTCGCCAGCTGTACATCCACAGCAAGCTGGTGATCGTGGACGACGTGTATGTGTCGCTGGGCTCGGCCAACTGGAACCGTCGTAGCATGACGAGCGACACGGAGATCGGCATCAACATTGTGGACACGGAGCTGGTGCAGTCGCCCGACAACATCACGGTCAACAAGCTGGCCCGTAACTTCCGTATCCAGAAGTTTATGGAGGCGACAAAGCTCACGTACGACGAGCTGAACGCCATGACGTTCCTGGAGGCCTGTGACGCGCTCGAGGCCGCCGCCCACGACGATGGTTTCAGTCTCATCGAGCCGTACGGCGTGGAGTTTAAGCCACAGTTCAACCTCGTGTCGGACGGTCTGCGCCAGATCGTGGATCCTGACGTGGTGCCTGAAGACGACCCCGCCAAGAAGATCAAGAACTTCATGAACAACCTCGGACCCAAGAAGGCGGAGTCGTAGCACCGGTAGTGAGTGAGACTTGAAGTTTGATCTGAAATGAATGAAAAGTGAAGATAAAAGTGCATGCATTTCCTGGTCATTGAGGGCGAACTGCCGCTGCACCGTAATAGTTGTATTGCAGCTTGTGATGGTTGGCATTATAATAAATGTTTCTTCCTCCTTTAACAACAAATGTTTCTTCCTCATTTAATCGAAATCGCAAGAGGAAGCTACTGGACGCCCGACCTCGCCACTGCTATATTGAGCACCCATGACCGGCTTAGCCCTCATCCATCCTATTTCTCAAGCTTTTTCAGCGCGAGCGTCTTGTTCACCGTGGCATAGTTCACATATAGCAGCGACAACCACGGGTTACGCAGATTGTCGTTAACAATGTCTGGAATCTTCGAGAGAACTTGGTCCCATTCTTCTCTCACAAACTCGTGTGTGCGCATGAACTCCGTCACAGGCGATACCGGGATCATCTGAATTCCGTGAATCGCGTACTTCTCAGGGCTGAACCACGTCGCGTAGTTCACGTTATTGTCAAACAAGATTCATGTCACTTTGTTGGGTCGGAACATTGCAGGCTGAGCGCGATTCGCGTCTGTAAGCCGTCTGAATAGCTCTCACGTTCAGCTTCACCATCAGTCGACCAATCGTTGCGAGCTCCTCGTCTCCTGCCACCTGTCCGAACAACGCCATCCCATAGTGAAAGTTCATATCCTCCGACGAACTCTCTTGATCCTTCCCATCTGCAAACGATAAAACGCCGTCCGAGTACGAATGGCCACGGAACCAGTCAAAGCTGCGGAATTTCGTAAAGTAAGGGTCTCTCCACGATGGATTCGCCACATCGCGCACTAGAAAGCTCGCTATGCGATTCAGTTCCGCTATTCCGGACCATGTAGGCGCGAGTTTGTTCATGATTGCAGCGGTCACGATCCAGTAGCCACAATGGTAGTGGTGGTCGTTGTACATTGTGTTACCGAAATCGGCGTTGACGTCATTAAGAACAAAACCCTGGGAGCTCAAAATTCCTCCGTACACGGTGTCATACTTCAGCGCGTACTTCCAGGAGTTGGTCACGAACGGAGCGAGAAAGGATTTCAGCTTGGTAAGACAGTGATCCAGATTTATTTCTGAATCGGGATCCGTACCGGCCACCGATGGATCTGCAGCCATAAGGCAAAGCGACGCATACTTCTGTGCAGCTTTGCCATTGAAGTAGTAGCTCCCACCAACGGCAATCTTCCACTTCGAACCGATATCCTTGACCAAGTTTTCCTTGATCTTGTACTTTTCTACGTCGCTGGCTGAAGGCACGTGGGACGGATAAAAGGAGACTGGGATGTCTGCTGTATCTGTGATCCGCCACATGGGTGAAGCTGTCGTGGTTATCAACGCCTGCATTGACCCTCTCGTTGTCGAGTACGCGGCTACACCCTCCACCTCAAATGCTGTCGACCTTTCCAGAGTATCCACGTGGTGAATCTGCGCGTAATGAAGCAGTCCACTGGACCCTGAGCAAACGCCACTCGTTTTCCACACGTAAGCGTACGTGTCTGCATCTTGCGCTTCAACGTCGCCTCCTTCCAGAATACAGCCAGAAGTCTCGTCAAATACGCTTTGTTTTTCTGGATTCGGGGTCATCGCCACTCGTACAGTTCCTGTAAAAGAATTAAAGCCTACCAACGTCGAGGATCCCTCGAGGTGTAGCACGAAAAGTAGAGCGTCCATGTCTGTCCATTGTTGAACCTAAGTACAAACTGAGTGGCAGTGCCAGTGAACCCCGACGCAGTCGACTGGCCATTGACTTTGAGAATGGCGTACACAGTGTCGAGGCGTGGAGTGAGCGAGCTATACTTTGCCGTCACAAAGGCCATCCCACTCGCAAGTGTCGCTTCAAAGCTGCTCTCATCACTGGGGCTCATTTTATTTAAAACCGGTTTGCCTGTAGTAGAATTCCCGTTTTTTTTTCAAACATTCTTACAGCCATACCGTACATTCGTGCAATACCCAAAATCTGTGGTCGTTCCTGCAACACTTTAGTAACGTTGGATCTACTGCTTCGGTTACAGGCTGACTGCACTCCACCAGTGCCTCACAGCCCTGTTCCTTAGAAGTACCGTAGATTGTTGTTTACCACCCACGGTTCGTAGCGCTTAGCCATGGCCACGTAAGCATCCTGATCGCCTACGCTCGTTCGCTGCTTTGCCGCCTTGTAGAAATAACGAGGTCCGAGCCGCTTCGCTTGCAATGCTTACAATTTACCAGCGCCCATGTTCCTCACGAAGTAAAGACCGTATTCCTGGGCTAATGCCTTGCTCCTCTCTATTTTGACGGGATCCGTAATCCCTTTTTTCGCCAGATTTTTCATCAACTTGTCTTCAAATTGTTTGGGTGTCTTCCCAAGTGCTCGAGCGAGTTTAAAGGAAGGGATCTCCATCTTTTGTCTCAAGCTGTCCATTCGAGTCGTGCCAATAAGTTTCTCGGTAAATTTTGCGGCTTGATCAAAAAAACCTCTGTCTTCTTCAGTCGACGAGTCTTGAAAGCCCCCCACGTTATCATTGCCTCGTAGGTGCGGTTGAGGCGGGTCCATCGTTGAATTCGCGCGAGCTTGGTCCATGCTCGCCCTTGATTCCGACGTTTTGCTTAGCTCAGAGTTTGCACTCTTCGCCGCCACCATAGCGGTAGATTGCAGTAGCGTGATCAAAGCTACATGCAAAAACCACAGTAAAATACGCATGGCTAGCACTCGTGTCAGACGTTGCTTTTTTTCTTGGAGGGTCTTGCGTGGCACGCAGTAAATTTAGAAGTGACAGTGAGCCCATGACTGTTCGGTGTGCAAGATAAGCTGCACTTCTCAATTAACATCCCCCATCTAATTCTGCGCTGCCTAATTTTCATGATTACGGGATGTTACCTAACATGCATTTGTTTGTGCTGAGGAGAGATCCAGTGACGTGGACGTCCGTCTGCCAATAAGATAGTAGAGGACTCCCACGTCAAGTGCTGCTGCACAGCACTTCAGTTTACGCTGGACAGCGTAATACGGGGATGCATGGTTTATATTCATTATATGCTATCCTATTGGCTGGTGTCAAAAGTAAACTTGATTATGGGACGCGTAAACATGGACGTTCGAGCGACCTCATTGGCTGTAAATCCTTGAGATGTGCAACAATCAAGTTTTCCAGCCGGACTTTTGATTATGGGACGCAAGTCACAAATTTTGGCCAAGCTACGAATAGGATTAGTAGTTTTTCATTGGTAGATAAGGATTGATCTAGGATTTGATATTGATAGACTTTAGGATGGGACCTGGATACTTGTTTGCGTGTCCTGGTCGCCAAGAACTACTGGTTGGGCGGCGGCGGCGCGCCGACGCTAAACTAACGGATCAATCAATCGCTTTTCAACTTTCCAACTTCCTCTCAAGTATTCTTCGAGCGCTCGCCACTACGCTCTTCACGCTTCGGGTCTTCGCATCGGCTTGTGTGGCAGATCCGCTGATTATTCACTGAATGGTGAAATCCGCCAGCTATATCTGAATATAGGTAATATTCAGCTATAGCTAGCGGATTTCACCGTCGTTGTCTGTGGTGCATCTATTGGCACCGACAGGGAATAAAGATGACGGGCGCATCTTTCAAAAACTTACAAAAATCAGCGGTCTCGACAGCAAACTATTCCCCAGCCAAAAACCCATAACCCTTCCGTACCGAGCGAGTTGAGATCGTGATTGGTCCTGGGTTTTAAGCTGGGCAAGTGGTTTTCACCCCTCCAGGCTTTTGTCACCGAAAAAGAGCTGGAATGGGCCTTCATACATATCTAATCTAGTGTCAATAGTCACTATCGTAGGCATTTAAAGAGCGGGTTTTCAGAGCGCTAGAGCGGAGCTTTCAGGGAAGCACACCCGTGCCGTCAGATGGGATCGTGATTTGGAGTGCTCAATGAGCACTCCAAAAACAAACCAGTACCTCCGTATGCTGAACACAATTTCCTAGTTTTTCATGACTTTATTAACAACTGTCGCCTCGGCAGCATTTACAGCATGTTCATTGTTGCGAGGTGCCTGCTGTGAGCAGTCAGTCTCAACAATGGCTATCCTCTCAGATACAGTATGGACATTCGTCCGTGGCATATCTTTTTACATGAGGTTCTTGACTGAAAACGCACGGTTTCATCGCTATCCAGCTGCTGCCACTTACCAGCACACAGCAACTACGCAAGCAATTATTATAGCGGGGATAATCGCCATCGAATATTAGTGTTGACGCGACGGCATAATCGCCATCGAATATTAGTGTTGACGCGATGTACAATATAACGAAACGACAAATCGCCCTCCAGAGGGGCTTTTTGTAAAAAGCGGAGTGATCCGGAAACTCTTTGCATTTGGAACCTTTTGTTACAAAAAGCAGAGTTCGCGGGAACTTTGTTACAAAGAGCGGAGTTCGGGCCCGGGGGCCGCACACCCAATAGATCTTTAGACGGTGAAGAGGCCCATGCAGTCGCCGTCGCCACCGCCGTCGCCGCACCCTGCGCAGGGTCCGACGGACGACACTACCACCGACTCGGTGACCGAGGGCATGTGCTTTCCTGACCATAAGTCGTGCACGAAGGCTTTGCGCAAGTATGCAGCAACACACGGCATGACCATCAGGCTCGATCCAAAACAGCACGGTGGTGTGATGCTCATGTACAAGTGCGACGGCGGAGATCAATGCCGCTTCACGGTTTTTGCACTGCGAGGCTTGACCGGCATTGTTGGGCCGAAAGCCCAACGGTTTCCGCCGCCCGCAGGGCGGCGGCAACCCCCCCCCCCCGTGTTTTTTTTAGTATCCATTTATTCTCCGATTTGAACATGGCGGAGAATGCGGCTCGTGCTGCAGTGAAGGAGGCAATAGCGCTGCGCATGTTCCCTCCTACTCTGCAGCTACCTGAACTGGAGAAGCATGGTCTACTTTCCACCTGGCTAACCTACCCAACGATTACCTAGACTACTGAGTGTCTTTCGCCTTCTCGTGACGCGGTGTGCATTGTGGAGGGCTGTTGCTGTACTCCGAGGGTGACGGGCTACTCAAGTCGCATCGTGCACGACATTGAACACAAGACCATACTGTACTACGCAAGGTACACTTGCACTGGTGGCAATGGACGGACATTTTCTACAATAGATGACGATTATCTTTCTGCCTCGAAAGCTACTCTTCTTGCTTTTCGTTACCTGCTCTCGTACCAGTCTGGAATATCGTTGGATTTTTTCGACCTGGTGTACGATAGCATGCTTACCACTAGAGGCATAGCTGGTGCGACCGCGAACGTAATACGGCGACGCCAAAAGCGGTATTACCAGATTTTCAGGTTGGCAGCGATGACTGTGGAGACTCGTAAATTAGAATACCAAAACTTTTCACCTCCTCTGCTTGATACAGTTGAGCAGTACATGCAGAAGAATGCTTGCCTTGACGAGGAGACGTTGAGAAAATTTGGCTGTCGCAAACGGAGATTTGCTCTAGATTGTTGAAGGCGTACATGGCCCAGGCTGAGTGCAAGCGAGTACTTCGTGTCGATCATTCTCAAAAGTTTTGCAAGAACTCAAAATCTTTGGCTCGGATAACTCAAAAGAGCAGTCGTCTCTCGTTCGATTGTTGATGTTGGTTCAGAACGAAGCCGGCGAGATAGTAGCGAGAGGTCTCACCCAATCTGAAAATCATGATGAATCGGGCGCAATTCTGGAGACATTGGTGCACAAAGTGAATCATGAGAGTGATGATGAAATGGTTTGTGTGTGTGACAACGCTGTTCAAACCCGTAATCTGATCACGAAAGTCTTTGGCGGTAGAGTAGCGACAAAACAGGACCTATACAGCGCTTTACAGAGAATGTGAAGGAGCCATCGGAGCGCAAAGCTTTGGCAAAGCATCTATCGAAGGCGTTGTATGACGTGGAGCGCAAGCTGCGACCACCAGAAGACATGGCAAAACAATTTCTGACTGTACTGCAATCTGTATCTAACTCTAGTGTGCGTAACATTTCCGAGTGGACGAACTCAATTCAATCCAACCTGCAGCAAATTCGAAGTAGAGATCAGTATGTTTCTGATTGTGAGTATCTCGAGCGAGGCGAGAAGATTCGAGTTGTTTCGACCAGTCAATTAGAAGCGATTCACTCGAAACTACGCAAGTTGCTTGATCGAGTAGGGTTGGGCTGCGTATCCTAGATATTTTCACGCTCCAGGTACGCTTTACACATGTGGTATGTGAAACCATTGCTCGCGCTAACACAAACCTATGATATTGCGCAGCATAATTTTAAAACAGGAGCTAAGTTCAAGCGCAACCCCAGTTTCACGGAGTTCGACTTCATCACCTTGTGCAAGACGGCCGTCTTCTGCAAAGGCCTGCTGCCGGATTCGCCCCAACTAGAGTTTATTTATGCGCTATTGTCAAAACAACCGCTCGAGGTTAGCATCCAACAGCACTTCCGCCCGGGTGGTGAGTCAGTTCCTGTTGGAAAACCGTGGGAACGTTTATTCAGCTTACTTCCTCTCCGCACTAACGCACTCGAAGCCGTCATCCTTCGCAAACGGTCCCAACCCACCGATATTAAGAAGTTGATGCAGTCAGCGCACGTGACTCGTAGAAGCATTCCTAGTGATGCGTTTGTGAAGCAGCTTGGGCTCAACCCGGAGTATGAATCGACGGCTGACTTCACGGCTGACGAGTTCGTAGTGCTGGAGCAAACACGCGGGGAACAGCTCGCACTCGATGGGAAAATATATAAGTGGCGTGAATGTCCTGTCGTGGCAACTGTGATGTACAATGCTGCCGTAAACGAGCTGACTAACCCGTGTCTGAAGCTGAAGAAGCGTTGATCCCGCTCAATTGAAAAACGTTCGGCAGCTGTAGATACGAAGTGGACCTCTGGTGGAATTCGACCTACAACACCCTACATTCTTAAAGTCGATCGCAAGACCCCAGTGAACGACGAAGTGAACTCGGATAAAGAGATGGCGCTTCAAAAAGAAATTTATAATTTACTTCGCCAGTCAAACAAGATAAAAAATGTAATCGGCGTGTTCTGCAACGTGTACGACTTGGCAGCGCACATGTGTCCGACAATCACGCCAAAGTCGGAGGATTTCTTACGCAAACGCTGGAATGCCCTTCGAACCGCTGAATCCCGTAAGAATCGCACGAAAGTTGTGCTGCGAGTTCCGCCTGCAAAGAAGATAGAGCAAGACCTCTTTCCCCACGTCGAAGAAACCCTAGCAGTACCGAGCGAGAAATCTGCTGAAGCGCAGCAATGGGGTACTTCAATTATGCCAATAGCTGCACTGGTACAGAGGGTAACATGAATGACCGTGTCTTGTGAGGCGTGTTGCAAGTCGGGAATGCCTGCAACGAACAGAATGAGAGGTTAGCTTCTTGTGTGGCGGTCAGTGCGGCTGGCGATGTCTCCACACCATCCTTACCACGCGCTGTCAGGCGCATAGCTGGCACGGAGATCGAACTGATCGACGACGCCACGCGCGAGCATTTACGACAGTTCGCTGCATCATTGCCTCGGAGCAAAGGTAAATGGGCGCTAGTCTTCTCCGAGTTTCAAGCAAAGCATCCTACCACGAACCTGGATGCAGAGAAGCTTCGTTGCCGTCTGAAGGCCAAAAGGCAGTCGCGGAAGCGGGCATTGGACCCACCTCCACAAGAGCAAACAGCGGCAGCTCCAACCCAACTCGCCGCCGAACCGCTGAAGCGATCTCGCACCAAACCTCCCGGACGCGCAGCATGCCAGAGTTGTCGCGATCTCCACCACAAGTGTGGACCAGACAGCACTAACCGCAAATGCCAGCACAGACAGACAGAGGACCCGCGGATTACAGCGTTCTTCGCAGCGGCAGGACGCGACCAGGCCGCGGTAGGAGGTGACCAAGCTAAGTAATCTGCTGCAACACACAAGACTAATGGGAGGCGCCAGCCGCGACTTTGTTAGTGACAGCTAGTTGGCACAGCACAACTTAAGCCTCAAGGAATCCATCGTGTACCTGCTTCACGTTTTGTCTTTTGAGTCCGTTCAGCTGGAGTCGGGCATCGGTGATTTTGATTCGGTAATTATATATTGGGGTCACCATAACACTTAGCATTTCGGTGCTCAACGGTGCCAAACGGTGCCCGCCGGTCGCAGTACAATCCCACGAATTCCGGTCAAGCCCCCCGGTCAAGCCCACTGCGATCATAGCGTCAAGGATCGAGCGGCTATTTCATCAGTCGCAGCATTCACCTGGTACTCACTCGTAGGAAGAGATGGGAACAACATGAACATTATTTTGGCCATTGCAGTGTGCGCTACGGAGAGTGAGGAGAATTGTAGATGTTTTTTCGGTGCTGTTTTTAGGCGGGTGTTGATCTCAAGCTCAAGGCCATGCCGCTTTTCTCGGATCGGGGTTCCGGAATTCTGGCCGCTCTGGAGAGACTAAACTGCGGTGAGAGTGGTCACAACAAGAGAAGCTGTCCCTCGTGCGCGTGCTGCGCCTGCACGGTGTATTGTGTTACAGCACCATGATAATTCATAATACATGTTGTTAGTGGTGACAGTTGTGGAAGACCGAGCTCAAAGTTCTTGTAAGTTTGATGGTGCTGCAGGCCCCGGGCCCGAACTCTGCTCTTTGTAACAAAGTTCCCGCGAACTCCGCTTCTTGTAACAAAAGGTTCCAAATGCAAAAAGGTTTTACTTTTTTACTGGATCTCGGTATTTTAATACTGTCCAGGTATTATTTTGAAAACCAATTAGGATGTCTTATTGGATTGTTAATCCGCCGATTTAGTGACTTAATAAGACCGACGACCCCCGATTAGATAAATCCGACCTCCTAATTAGACGATTTATTCTTTAGATTACTACCTGGGACGACTTACACAGTAAGAGCACATGAGTCGGATTTACGTTTGCTAATCGGCCGATTAAGCCAGAGCCAGCCGATTTGCTTGCTATTCAGGCAAAGCGACGCATACTTCTGTGCAGCTTTGCCATTGAAGTAGTAGCTCCCACCAACGGCAATCTTCCACTTCGAACCGATATCCTTGACCAAGTTTTCCTTGATCTTGTACTTTTCTACGTCGCTGGCTGAAGGCACGTGGGACGGATAAAAGGAGACTGGGATGTCTGCTGTATCTGTGATCCGCCACATGGGTGAAGCTGTCGTGGTTATCAACGCCTGCATTGACCCTCTCGTTGTCGAGTACACGGCCACACCCTCCACCTCAACTGCTGTAAACCTGTAGTGGCGCCATGGGAAACCTATCGGTCGAAGGAGCGCAATGAAGCTCTGCCTCTGGTCTACCTGTTCATTGGGGAGTACGGTGAGGGCAAGGACTACCTGTTGGTTCTGAAAGATGACTTCTCGCACTTGTGTGAGCTGGTGAAGTGTGCAAGCCCTGACTCTGCGACTGCTGTCAGAGCCATCCTGGACTGGAGTAGCCGCTACGGCATGCTTAAGGTGCTGATTAGCGACACAGCGACGCACTTTAAGAACCAAATGTTGGAAGAGCTGTGCCACAAGACTCAAATGACACAGAGTTTCACTTTGGCTTACTGTCCCTGGATAAATAGCAGTATTGAACGGCTAAATCGAGATATCCTTCAAGTATTTCGAGTCATGATCTTGGAGTTCAAGGTCGAGCAAGCCAATTGGGCGACACTACTCCCTCTCGTACAGGGCAACCTGAATCATAGCCCTGTGGCATCGCTTGCCAATCACTCCCCAGCAGAGGTGTTTCTTGGGGTTACAGCAGCTACACCATTAGAGAAAGTGCTGGTCGGCCACGAGGCGGCGGAGATGAAGGTCGTAAAGACGGATGAGCTTTCTCCAGACATCAGCTCAGTGGTGGACGAGCTACGTGCATCGATGGAGGATATGCATCATGACGTCTCGAGCGCCAAGGAAGGCCATACCAACCGCAATAAGAAAAATCAGCGTGGTGCGCAGCAAGAGAACTTTCACATCGGAGATTACGTGTTGTGGCCCCGTATTGATTCCGAGGTGCACGTCAATAAGCTTGCGGTCAAATGGATTGGACCGTACCGTGTGATTGGTGCTCAGGCAAACTCATTTGAGATCGAACATTTGCTGAGTGGAGCCACTCGCAGGGTGCATGCTTCGAGATTGAAGATGTACGCCGACAGCAGTCTCGATGTCAGAGCTCGGCGGCGCTTGAGCTCGGCTAAGCCGGATAACCTGTCCGGATAACCCCTTGAACTCGGGCTGAGCCGGATACGGCGTGTCCGGATAACCTAACGAACTCGGCTGAGCCGAATAAGATGTCCGGATAACCCAGTGAACTCGGCGGAGCCGGATAAGGTGTCCAGATAACACGGCGAACTCGTCGGAGCGACCCTTATACTCGACTGGGCGACTCCCGGACTCAATTGGACCCGGTTACCGTATTTGGATGGTACGTGGTGCCGTTTTGCCGAGCTCGGCGGCTTGAACTCCCCATGACCTCGGCTGAGCGTGTCCGGTGCCTTCCTGAACTCGGCTGGGTCTTCATCACTGGGCCTGCCACGTGTCACCAGGTCGGGGCCGGTGTGCATTGAGTTTCTGACACCATCACCCGCGTTCAGCTGTCCATCAGCCCACTGAGCTCGGCGGACGGTCATCCCGCCGAGTAGTACTTGGCTCCTGGTACGTTGTTCCACTGCGGCCTTAGAGTGTGACACAAAACTTGATGTTCCCCTACACCACACCTCGACGCCACCCATTGGCGGAGACCCCCATTACGGAGGGTACGTCGGCTCCCGGAGCCGACGAATCAAATTCACCCAAGCCATCGACTCCCGGAGTCGACGGCGTTACGTCACCTTGGCTCTTATTATTGGCCAGACCTGATCCAATTAGATTCGCGTCAGCCTCCACGGCTGAGGCGTGTGACTCGCCTGCGTCATCCGTGCCCCTTGAGGCCGGAGACTCTTCCTGATTCGCTGAAAATCGGGTATCGACCTCCGAGGTCAACACATTTTCTTCATTAGCTGTCGGCGGCAACGCCGACGCTAGCTGCTCTTGCGCGCGTGCTCGCGCGGCCCCAGGGCGCTCCGGAACAGCAGCGTTAGGCGCTGTCTCGGTGGGGAGTCGCACGCACCTGTCGGTGTGTGCGTAGCGGCAACAGGGCCATCGCTCACTGTTCCGAAGCGCACGAGAGTGCGCTTCTCCCAATCGATGACCGGATCATGCCGTGCAAGCCACGGCATGCCCAATACGATGTCAAACTTATCGTCCAGATCCAGGACGATAAAGGTCTCGACAAACTCTTGGTCTTCATACGTGAAGCGCACGCGTACCATGCGCTTCTCGGTCTTCACGACGGCACCCGTTGCCAGTCGTACCTCCAGCATACTTCGAGGTATCTTTAAATCCTCGAAGTCAAGCCTTGATAGACTTCGCAGTCGAACAAAGTTGTTCGACGCGCCCGAATCAACCAAAGCACGAAAAGATTTGCTCTCTCTCATCGAGTTCACGTTCAACATGAAAAGGTTCGGTTTGTCATCATGCATTTTGCAGTGAGAAGGGTCCTCACTGGGGGCTGCAGTCCTCAGTTTCGCATGTCCGAGTTGGACATGCGTGACTGCTTCACCAGTAGGGCGCCCCGCGCCTACTGGGTTCCAGCGTGTTTTGTTCGTTCGCGCCGATGCCCTGCATCGCCGCGTCGACCACCATCTCGGTGCACGGGTGCCGTGTACTCTCGGGCAAAGTGACCGACTCTACCGCAACGGTAGCATCGCACATTGTTTCCCTGCAACTGCTGGGGTCCAGCAGTTGCAGCACTCGAGAGGCCCGTGGGTAATGGGCCTCCCGTCCTCACTACCGGGCGTGGCTGTGGCCTCGGCACATCTGCATGCAGTTTACCCTGCCGCAGGCTAAACTCCTCCTGCATTGCAAGAGTAATCGCAGCTTCGAAAGTGCCTGGGTACTCACGGAAGAGATAGGTCTTTACAGGCCCATCTCTCAGTCCCTTCATGAACGTGACGACCTTGGTCGCCTCGTCGATCGGATTGGTCACGATGTTCGAGACCAAGTACCGTGCTCTCTGCGCGTACGCATGGACATCGTGCTTACCCTACTGTAGGTCGAGTAACTCTGCCCTCGACCCAAACTCATTTTGCGGGGGCTCAAACGCTTGCCTGAGCTCCTCCTTGAAACCCTCGTACGTGCTGAAGCACGTAGGATCAGAGAGTCGGCGTCCATACGCCCAACTTCTCGCTCGTCCGCCAAGGCATGACATGGCGAACGCAACCTTGGACAACGGGTCGACGATACGTCGAGCCGCGATGGCAGTGTCGAGTTCGACAAGCCAACGGAGGAGAGTTTCACCCTCTCTTCCGACATAGTTGCTCACATTGAGCTTCAACGATTGCGCGCGTGGTGTCGCCCCGGACGACACCGCGGTAGTAGCAGCAACATCGCGTTGCTCCTTCAGGATGAAACCCAGAGCAACACCGTGTTGCTCTGTCGGCGTTAGCGACGCAGCATCGTAACTACAGCCGCCTCACCAATGACCGTTGAGGGAGGGGTGGGCACAGTCAGCGCGTGCAACGTGAGTCACA